AAATCTATTTGAAATTGTTTTCACTTTTGTTACTCATCCCTCCTATTCTCCCCTCTCATCCTTGTAAACTATAATTGCTGCACATGATAGAACACACATCTTTGGTCTTCCATTAGAATTGTCGAATATCAAGAATATACAAGAGCACATCTCCTCAACCCAATTAAATTAATTGAAAACGAAAAAACCAACAAATACATTTTTGCCAAAAAAATAAAAAGATACTTGAAAGGCATGAATTAAGCATGGGTTACTAATGTTAAAACTTTATAAAAAAAATATGTTTTATAGGCGCGGATAGATTAGAAATAATATAATAAAACATCAAATAAATAAAAATATATGAAAACAATATAATGTATTTCTATTTTTAAAGGGAATGATTATAAGCATTAGTACCTAGGTTAGTATATTAGGCACGGATGTACTAGAATATGTACACGTATTAGGAATGTAGGACCCGTTGCAAAAAGAAAAAGAAAAAAAGTCATGGAGATTTACAATCAGTGTGATATTAAACAACAGAAGATTCATTTAAAAGACACTGATATGGAACAATCCATAATACAACAATAGACACAGTTTTAAGTACCTAAAGGAAGCAATTGTTTTTTCAGTAGTGACTTTTAACTCACATTTAAGGGGTCAAAAGAATTAGTGGTACACTGTGCTCCAAAATCTCTTTGTTCATCTAATATGATTGTATTGTATGTATTGCATTGTGTAAAAATGGAACAAAAAATTGAGCGTCCCTTGCTGTATAATGGGGGAATAGGGTTAAAGAAAAGCCTACATCTGTAGCATTTTAAGGGAGGGCTTAGAGGGCTTTCTTTACTTCAAAGACGTTGTTTTGCCCCTTTATTTGTGCTGCTTCAACGTCATATATATGGAGATGCCACTGCAACCACAACCCCTTTGTTTTTGACCGCATCAATTGCCTCTGCAAATTCCTTGAAGTCCTTCACGCTGCGGGACAAAAGGATAACGAGTAAAAATACTGAACTAGGTAAAATATTTACGTATAATAAAAGTAGCATCACGTAGGATTTAAGTTATGGGTATGCTCTGACGGTGACGCTAGTGGTGAGAGTAGCCAATCTTCCCTTACATTTTTTTCTCATAAAATAAAACATAGCATCACGTGAGCTGTCTATTGCCAAAAAAAAAAAAAAAATGGAACACCTATGAGGATAATAATACCCCACATGCGAACATTTAACAACGCAAACTTTTACCTGAGTGACTATCACAGTCACAAAAGCCTCCATATGCCCCACCATTAACTCTAACATGATCCCCCAACCATGTATTTCTAATGTATTTGGAGATAAAATACGCACTCGCATTAAGCTGAGAACCAGTGTTGTAACTGTTAGCAGCTTTTCCAACATAATTAACCTGCAGAAGGTAAGAGCTTAGAATTATTCCTCCACAAAATATGCAAAAAAAGGAACCAGGCCAAAAAAGAATATTATTCTAACCTGAGTAGGTCTTCTTTTTTTTTTGGATCACACCTGAGTAGGTCCTGCTACTTGCTCTCTCGCGGTGAGGCAAACACTTCGTGAAGAGTCGGTCTCTTCATGACTGCTCGTTATGAGCCCAAATGTTCCCCAAGGCCTAACAAGCCTTTTATCTTCCAACTCTCTTTTACCTTCTCAATGGCCCACTCCCTTTTAGGCCCATTGCTTTCAGCTTTCCAACGAAACCGACCACAGGCTCTGCATTGCTGCCAAGAAATGGTTGATTTCATAACTAATGAACATTAATCACCACATTATATTGGGGTTTTTGCTAAAATAGCACTTTTCAGAATTTTTATTCTATAATAGCTACTGCTTCATACAATGTCTTTTTGTTGTCCCTATAATACCTTTTTAATGTAAGGGGGCTATTTTAGAATGGCAAAAAGTCATTTTTGGTCATTGTAGTTTGCCACTTTTACCACTTTGGTCACCGTCATTTCAATTTGATCAATTTTGTCCCTATAGTTTCAATTCCGAGCAATTCAAGGACAATCCCCAATTTTTTGTCAAATTACTTTAATATGGAGGGGCATTTCGGTCCAATCTTGGATCCCCTCCACAACTACTCCCTAGCCACCCAAGCAATCCCTAATGTAGTTTTTCTTATGCTTTCAAGTCTCAAGCCCCTACTTTATCTTGAGTTCATGATGAGAGGTTTTAGGCAATGCATGTAATTAGTTTTGGAGTTTGATGAGAGAGAGAGAGAGAGATAGTGAAGGGAAAATGTGGTTGTGGAGGGACGGGATAAGGTGATTGTCAAGGTGGTTGGGTAGTGGCTATAGGAGAGGGAGTGGGTTGAATTAGGAGAAGGAGGAGGTTGCGTGGGGAGGGGGAGGAGGGATGAGAGAAGGTGGTTGGGTAGGGGCTGCTAGGTTTTTGTGGGGTGGTTGTGGAAGGGCTGTAAGTTGGACCAAAATGCCCCTCCATATTAGAGTAATTTAACAAAAAAAAATTGGGGATTGTCCTTGAATTACTCAGAATTGAAACTACAGGGACAAAATTGATCAAATTGAAACTATAAGGACCAAAGCAATAAAAGTGGTACACTATAGGGATCAAAAATGACTTTTTGCCTTTTAGAATAGAAATGGTGAAAAATGGCTATTTTAGCCAATTTCACTATTATATTTATATGCAACAATTTCATTTTATTATGTTACCCAACTTGAAACGAAGCATTCAATTCACACTCTCTTTCATAAAACCCAAAACCAAAAAAAGAACAAGGCCTTCAGTATCAAACACACACAGCAATTCTCAGTATCAAACACACATAGCAATTCTCATGTCTCATCTCCAAAGTAAGCATATATATTCCAAATATTTAAGTTACTTGAAAACTAAGTTTTCAAATCTCTATTATTAGCCTCTCCACGAGCTCTCCCACGCCACCATGTGAGGGCTCTCCAAAAAAGATTTTTTTAATTTTGTGCTAAAAGAGTTTTTTTTTCTCAATCACTCATCATTAAATATTTGTTTTGTTTTATTTTGTTTTTGTTTAAGTACTAGCAAAGGATCTACTAATGTAGTTGTTTGGAGTATTTACTCCCTCAAACAAGGTTCTGGGTTCGAGTGCTAGCATCCTTGATGACACGTGATTCAAATAAATTTAAAAAACTTATGACACGTGATTAAAAAAAAAAAAAACTTATGACACCTAATTAAGAAAATAAATCTCTCATGCGCATGTGGAGAGGCTAGTCTAATATAAATAGGAGCGCATGTGGAGAGACTAGTCTTATATAAATAAAAGCGCACGTGGACAAGCTAGTCTAATATAAATAGGAGTGCATGATGTAGGGCAAACATGTATCACAATCTTTTCTCACAGTTAAGCTACTCTCAACCAAGAACCCAAGATGGCCAATCCAGGCTTGCCGCCTAACATGCCACAAGCTATGAATATGAGAACCTTGGCGAGTATACGTAACATGCCTCAAGCTATGAAGACTTCCATTAGCAATATGGGAGTTAACAGAGTAATGTGTATTGCCAGAATTACGTTTAGTTTATGCGATGTAACGAGCCCTAAGCTACTAATAGGGCTACCCCACGAGCGCAACGTTCTCACTGAAGCCGAGCACAAATTTTTGAATGATGAAAACGAGCACATATTGTTGAATGAAAATTATGAGCCAAATAGTAAAATTAGAGTTAAGTTGCTAGAAGAGCCGAACCGTACGACTGAGTTGAGTTTAGTTAAGTTTGGAATTCAAGTTCGGTGCTGCTGATGGCCCTGATAGTGCTGATCTATGGTGCTTCAGAGCTCAGGGATTTATTTGGTTTGCTATTCATCGTTAATTAGTTAGAGTATAATATGAGGTTTCTAATGGGATATTACTTATAAGCATAGTATTGACTTACATATGCATACATGTGTGTGTTTATATATATAATTAAGGCATAATACGTATTAGCTTTGCTTCTAATAACTATGAATAAACTACACATACATGCGTATACACGTGCGAAGGGTTTTTCATGTGGTTGTTGCAAAACAGATTAGGGTTAACAATTTTAGAATGATTCCAACCCAACCAGAAATGAATAGATTACTTGACTCACACTTAACTGAAAGTTTAACTAGTATTACGCGAAGATAATGATTTTCTTTCAATTTTTAAATGTGTATTACATAATATTTTTATTATTGTGTTAGTATCATGAGTAAGTTAATATTTATTTTACAAGTAATATAATGTTTGATTTTAAAAATAATAATAATAATCATTAATTACCCAAAAGACATATGTGCCCATTACATCAACTCTATTTTTGTATCATCATTAAAAAAAAACCATATCTTTTATTACAAATAAAATGAATTAAACGATGGGTGTTTCTATCTGGACCCAACACTTTTCCTCTCCCCACCACCCAACGAGTTTTAAAATCCCTATTTTACCCCTAAAATAAAAAGTCTCAAGCTCAACCCCCGTTAGATTGGTGGACGTGTTTGAGACGACAGAAGATAATCATTGCTTTCAGCAGTTCAACAACCCCAAATACCGACATAAGCCTCTGCTTTAGCTGCCAAGAAATGGTTGGTTAATTTCATAAAATATCAAAGGATATAATCCGCAATAATTCTCTTTTATAAAATGAAGGACTTTTTCAGGGACAGGGCTTGGGCTTACTATGAAGCATTGAAAAAGAGTGGGTGGGGTGGGGTGGTTGAGATTGTGGAGAATGAAGGGGAGGACCATGTGTTCCATTTGTTCAACCCAAGTTGTGACAAAGCTGTGGAGATGGTTAAAAAGGTGGTTTCTTTCATAAATCAGGACTAGGACTAGGTTGGGCTTGGCCTTCGGCTTGGGTGTGTTTTGAAATTTCAATGTCATCTTAAGATTTGTCATTGTAATAGAATATGAGCATATTTGCAATGCTGAATTAGTAGCGCCTTGATTTTTATTTGCTGGGAAAACATCAATTTCACAAATTTGAGTCGTCCATATTTTAATTTTTGGCTAAACTACATGCACGTCAAAATTTTGCTGGGCATGACAAACAGAGTCTTTTAAGCTGCAAAGTTACAAAGACATTACAAGTTCGTAGTCCAGATCAAGGGTCAACAGCGATGGCTTCCAATTCCATCTCACTGGTTGTACTGCCCCTTGCATTCCGAATTAATTTTGAAACAACCAAACACACAAGAAAGAGGACAGGCAAAATGTTTACTTTGAAAGGATTGTCCTTATGCCGAAGCACGCACACAAGCTGAACCATGGAGGAAGCCCACTGAGTGATTGCATAAATTAATCCACAAATCTCAGGGAAAGTACCAAAAAGGGTGACTGAACATGGACAATAAAACCACCACAGCAATTTTCCGCACTTGCCAAATTCAACTTTTCCTCTTCTGCCTTTGTGAATGAATTCCGAGATGCAAGTGGCTAGAGCCATAATAGCCAGCCCCATACCAAAGAGTGCATAGAGGGGCTTTCTTGGGGAGGAAAGCTGATCACATATAGCTGAAAAGATCTCTAGCATCAGGCTAACGATTAAAAACATCCACTCCGCTGAAAATGCCTACAAAAGAAATTAGTAGTTCAATTAAAGTTTAAGAGATATATCTTGCAAGAAAAAATTATCAGCAACTGATCGAGAGGTGCTTAGAAAATTTAAGAGATATATCTTGCAAGAAGAGTTTGCACCTTATTTAAGGAGCTTTTAGCACTAGACCATATCCCATCTGGTTGCTCAGGCAAACTTTCCTGGCGTTGAATTCCAATTGTTCCCTGGTATGAAAAAGCTAGCAACTAAGCTATTAACAAATGCAAGTTCCTTATCAAATAAAATGAAAGTGCTTTCAGGTAACTGCAAGGCAAACTCATTTGTTTCTTGGCAACATATTGAAAAGCAATTGCATTAATAAATTAATATAAAAATAGGTAAAAGAATATGGTTGTCAAATTGAATAAGGCGTTTCAAGGCTTCCAACTTCGTTTAGTCCCTATTTTATGGAAAAACAATTGTGAGAAAACTTAATATATACAACTCACTGTCACATCGTCAATATTGGAGAATTAATATAAACAACTCACATCTTCTTCATCTTCAAGTAACTTTTCAGCTTCATTTAATCTCTATTATTTGAAAAAGAAAATATATAAAAGAGGAAAAAGGGTTTCGCCAGTCAAATTGATAAGACAATACATGTTGTGCGTACCGTGCTTTGCAAGTCACGCGCCCTTTTAGTTATTTTGAGGATTTCATGAATATTTGAGTGCCATTCATCTATACTTTTCCTATATAAAATTGAACCCATAGTTGTGAGGGCTAATGGATTCCCTTGAGCATAGCCTACGACTCTACTTGCGAGTTCTAGATAATCATTCGGAATTCTACTTGTTGCAAATATGTTTTAATTTCTGGCTAAACGGCATGCACGTCAAAATTTTGCTGGGCATGACAAACACAATCTTTTAAGCTGCAAAGTTACAAAGACATTACAAGTTCGTAGTCCAGCTCAAGGGTCAACAGCGATGGCTTCCAATTCCGTCTCACTGGTTGTACTGCCCCTCGCATTCCGAATTAATTTTGAAACAACCAAACACACAAGAAAGAGGACAGGCAAAATGTTTACCTTGAAAGGATTGTCCTTATGCCGAAGCACGCACGCGAGCTGAACCATGGAGGAAGCCCACTGAGTGATTGCATAAATTAATCCACAAATCTCAGGGAAAGTACCAAAAAGGGTGCCTGAACATGGACAATAAAACCACCACAGAAATTTTCCGCACTTGCCAAATTGAACTTTTCCTCTGCCTTTGTGAATGAATTCCCAGATGCAAGTGGCTAGAGCCATAATAGCCAGCCCCATACCAAAGAGTGCATAGAGGGGCTTTCTTGGGGAGGAAAGCTGATCACATATAGCTGAAAAGATCTCTAGCATCAGGCTAACGATTAAAAACATCCACTCCGCTGTAAATACCTACAAAAGAAATTAGTAGTTCAATTAAAGTTTAAGAGATATATCTTGCAAGAAAAAATTATAAGCAACTGATCGAGAGGTGCTTAGAAAGTTGTAGAGTTTGCACCTCACTTAAGAAGCTTCTAGCACTAGACCATATCCCATCTGGTTGCTCAGGCAAACTTTCTTGGCGTTGAATTCCAATTGTTCCCTGGTATGAAAAAGTTAGCAACTAAGCTATTAACAAATGCAAGTTCCTTATCAAATAAAATGAAAGTGCTTTCAGGTAACTGCAAGGCAAACTCATTTGTTTCTTGGCAACATATTGAAAAGCAATTGCATTAATAAATTAATATAAAAATAGGTAAAAGAATATGGTTGTCAAATTGAATAAGATATTCATGTGTGTGCATTGTACTTACCTCGACGTCGTCAGCTTCAGACTTGTCAGCTTCAGGCATTTCAAGGCTTCCAACTTCATTTAGTCCCTATTTTATGGAAAAACAATTGTGAGAAAACTTAATACATACAACTTACTGTCAGATCTTCTTCATCTTCAAAAAACTTTTCAGGGATTTCAGCTTCATATAATCTCTATTGTTTGAAAAAGAAATTGCATTAACAAACTAATATATAAAATGGTTTCTCCAGTCAAATATTGAAAAGACAATACATGTTGTGCGTACCTTGCTTTGCAGGGTTGGTGGTTTAATTTTTTTAAAGTCAGGCACCTGAAGATTTTTAAGAATATATGAGGCAGGAGCTGTTTTGACTCTTTCTATTACAGAGAGCCACGCTGCAATACTTTTCCCATATAAAAATGAACCATATTTTTTTGGATTAATGGAGTCCCTTGGCATTAGAACTGAAGAGTTCCAAAGCTTCATCAGATTCTAACTCCTTCACTTGGTATGTGAACTCAACTCCATGGGCATGAAGCAAATGTTGATCCCTAGTTGTTATGATAATTCTACTGCCGGCACCAAACCAATCAGAGCTTCCAGCTAAGTATTTTAACTGGTCCAATTGATCCACATCATCAATAATTAGGAGAACCCTTTTGTGGCGCAACCTACTCTTACTGATATTGACTCATGAATCAGCATTTGTGAGACTCGATATTTTCAGCCCGAGAATGTCATGAAGAAGAGTCTTTTGTAGTTGGACTAAGCCTCCTGGTGCCTCTGAATTTTCTCTAACATTTCCCAAAAAGCAGGAACCTGCAAACTTACGGGCAACTGAATTATAAACAGCTTTACTAAGTGTTGTCTTACCTATTCCACCCATCCCCCATATACCTACCATGCGAACATCAGCTGCTCCTACACCTAAAAGATCATTCATTTATTGTATGTGAGAGTCTATTCCAACTAGATAGTTCGTCTCATACGTCAAATAGGCACGGTTTAATTGTCGTGAGATGTCTCCATTGACGAGTGGCAGGAGAAGAGGAAGAGGCTGCTGGTTCAGTGGTGATATTGTCATCCACATTTGCTCTCGACTGATAAAATTGAAGCAAATGTCAAAAACTCTATCAAGAGTTGGGAACTCTATATAAAGGGTACTAATCAATTAAAGTAGACTATATCTACCGATATGTGTAAGTGTAACTAAATATATACTCACAGTAACATCGCCAAGTTGGTCCTTTTTTTGAGTATCGGGGCTGATCTCATCTCCTCCAGGAGAGCCTTTATTGGTTTCGGTTGCTTCTACTCCCTATTGTATGAAAAGCAATTGCATTAATAAATTAATATAAAAATAGGTAAAAGAATATGGTTGTCAAATTGAATAAGACATCCATGTGTGTGTATTATACTTACATCGCCGTCGTTAGCTTCAGACTCGTCAGCTTTAGTTATTTCAAGGCTTCCAATTTCGTTTAGTCCCTATTTTATGGAAAAACAATTGTGAGAAAACTTAATATATACAACTCACTGTCACATCGTCAATACTAGAGAATTAATATATACAACTCACTGTCAGATCTTCAAGTGACTTTTCAAGGCGTTCAGCTTCAATTTTCTTTTCAATTCCAACTAGACCCTTTAAATCACTTGACGATTTGTTATTCAATTTGGTCAAAACATCTTGAACAACTTTCTCAACAAAATCGGCCTCTGTCCTGCAGGCAAATATCGTTATGAAAGACAAACAATAGTAAGTATGCATCAAATGATAATAAGTAGAAATTGATACAAGCTAGAGATTCAGTATACCCTGTTTTGCTTGAATAATGAAACCCAGACATATTGGCTGCTTCCTCCAAAGTAGCCCTCCAGTTGGCCACCTCATCCCTACTGCGCTTAACTGGATGATCTTCAAGTGCATAAGTTCCCTGCTGTTTTCGTACATCTGATGGATCTATGCGACAAAAAATGACTAGTGCAATTTTCGATTTCTTGATTGCTTCTTTAAGGGAAGGTCCAATGTCGTCTCCTTTCTCAAGTCTGTTATCTATGTAGGTCTCAATTTGCTTCCGAAGTAAAGCCGCATGAAGATGGCTGGTAACAGCTTCGCATGTGTCCTCACCTTTGAAACTAAGAAACACAGCGAACTTTTCTTGAAGGGGAGCAGGAAAAGGAAGAGAAGAAGAAGAAGAAGAAGAAGAAGAAGAAGAAGAAGAAGAAGAAGAAGAAGAAGAAGAAGAAGAAGAAGAAGACATATCCCTATCCAAAACCTGCAAACCTGTCAAAACATGCATATATGCAAATAACGCTAGGTCCAAAAAATCTCCACAAATAAGTATAAGAGAGCTAGTAATTAAGTTAGAGACAGATAGTCCTCCAGATCAAGAAAGATGCTGCAGACTAATATATAAACATGCATATATGCAAAGAGGCTGCTGGTTCAGTGGTGATATGGTAATCCGTATTGTTTGATAATTGGATGCGCCTCTTCCTTAACCTCACATTTGCTCTCGACTGATAAAATCGAAGCAAATGTCAAAAACTCTGTCAAGAGTTGGGAACAAGAAGAAAGTTTTCTGATCGGAGCTTCCGAAATGGGACTTCTGAATTGACCTCGGGTTTGGGTCTTGAAGAAGAACAAGAAGAAAGAGGAGAAGAAAGAGAGAGAAGAAAATGAGAAAGAGAAATGCAGCCAGCCCACACACTGCAGAAAGATAAAAGGTGGGGAGCAACCCATGTGAAAGCATCCAATGCAAAAAATTTAAATTAAAAAAAAAAGAAAAAGAAAAAAGAAGAAGAGGGAAACAGAATTTTGCCAATGTGCCAAACAAGCCCCTGTCTCTCCTTCAGTGCATCATGCATCAATACAGGCTTTTGAGAATTAATGCATGCAAACAAGATATCTGCCAAGCAAACTCAGTGGCACTATTGTGAATTCAAACAAAGTCAGTGGCATAATCATAAATTCAGACAAGATGGAGGAAGCAATTATTGGCGATGCGAGGCAATTTTTGCAAAATACCAAAAATGAAATTTGAAATTTAGATCAGGTCTTTAATTTTTGTTTTCATTCCTATTTTTTGCAACAAAATAAAAGAAAAGAGAAAATTCCTCTTCCTTTACTTAAAAAGTACAGAGTGTATATTTTTATCATCTCCATTTGCCACATCAATCTAATCTACTCCACTGTCTCTCTCGTATGAGACAAATTTGTGTTCAATATATAATTAACCAAACTTGATATTAGAACACCTCACTTAATAAACACTAAAAAACGAAAACACCAATTTCAGAAAATATATGAATATATATATATATATATATATATATATATATATATTTAAAAAGGAAGAAATATCCCGTAAGCTAAAATCTAGCATCAACCAAGGTGGTTGGTGTAAGTGGTTCGGCACTCTCATTCCTTAAGAGAGGTCAGGGGTTCGATCCCTGCTCTCGTACGGAGTCACCACTTTGGCCAACACTTTAC